TTCTAACTAGTATCCCAGAAAAATTTAACCAAAAGGTAGAACGGGCAGCCCTAGAAAATCCGCTAATGAACTCATATAGATTTTTATTTATCCCTTGCCAAATCCTTCACCTAGCCACCATTCTCAGCCAGCATCAAGACCCAAGGGAGAAGTTTTCCAACTTTTCTCAAGAATTTTTCAACCTCAGAAACTGTAACTCCCCTAATATATTCAAGATTTGTTTGGAACTAGACCTGGGATTAAGACCCACAATTTAATAGGTTCTTTATCCCCTCTGGCCACGTTGACCACACAGACTTTTCCTCTAATACCAGGCTTGCAGCACAGTGTGACTTGCTTGAGGAAAGAGACTCTATCTTTCCATCTTTGAATCCTCAGCACCTACCATGGTGCCACATCTACAGAAGCACATCCAATATCAGTGGAATAAATGTTTTCCTTTCCACATCATGAGATGCTTCTATAACTGCTTTGTTGTTTTTAATTTATTCCATCAACAAATTTTTATCAAAGATCTGCCAGTACAAAGAATACTGCTAGGTCCTAGGGGACTATGAAGGCAGCCACTCCATGGATTCCCATCCTCAGTTCTATCCCAGTTCTTCCTATGGGATAAGGATGGTTCCTGCTGTGCAGCAGCCCCGAGATAAGAAGTGGACATAGCCCAAGACCAAGATCATATACTGAGAAGCAGAGATAAGTCACCAACGCCTACGTAGCATGAACAGTTAACATAGTACCTGGGGAAAGTCAACGGTAGGAATCTGGTTGTAAGAATCATCAAAACCAGGCAGAGTCAATAACAAGCATCAGAGCCCAAGACAAATTTCCAAATCAAGGCATCCAGGGCTCAGAAAAGAGCAAGAAGAAAGTATAAAGCGAAGGGTCCAGACACTTTGAAGTACTTTGTACTGCTTCAAAATGGAAGTGAATCTCTTTGAAGAGCCCCAGCCTCATTTCCACAGGAGCCCCTCTGCTGATAAAGGACACGCCCTGTGAAATGAAAGGAGAACTCTTCACATCAGAAGACAGCAGCTGGCCAGGAGTGCAAAGTGAGGTCACTGAAATTTTATAAAAATTCAGGAAACGGAAGAATTGATTTTAGCTGGAAGTAGCTTAAAGGGTGTTTGAACTGGCACATCAAATACCCTAAGGGTGTGTGTGTGTGTGTGTGTGTGTGTTTTCAGCAGGATGATGCCTGCTATTCAAAGTTGCTTTAGACAAAAGAGTGAACACTAGAAATCAGAATCCCAAATACTTTCAGAGTGTTTGGGATTAACATAAACACCCTAAGTGTATGGATATAAAACAATTGAGACTAAATTGCTTAGAATGCCACCAAGCCTAAAATCTACCTAATTATATAGCCTCTTAACACACTGGGTGGGTTCAATAAAGAACACACTTCCAAGAGCCTTATACTGCCTTGAGCAGCTAATTTGGGGTCCCTGGTGTGTCCCAACAAAACATAAATACAACTCAAGTTGCTAATATTGATAAATGAAGTCAGTGTAAGTTCAAACTGTTTTTTTAACCTCTGGTAGTTTGCATTTCCACAAATGTCTTATGTGCCTCCAATCATCATGACCCAAGGAAGGTCTTACATGTCCCAAAGATGCTTCTGCTTTGGTTTACAGCCAACTCAAGAAAACTGTGGTCATTTCTTTATGGCTGAAAACCAAATCACCCTATTGATCCTAGTTATCCTACGCCCCAGTCAGCAGACCTGCCTCATTAGGGTCTTTTAAACAATCAAATCTGACCTCAAAGAATAAATAGTGATCAATATAAAGGAAACTCAAAACACAGGCCCTTTCAAAAGGGGGTTCCAATGTTGAGTTTAATTGCTATTCAAACACCTTCAGGAAGATTACACTATGATTCAGCATCAAAACGAAAGTTAATGGGTTCACAGAAAGGCACAGAACAGCAGCAGGATGCAAATCTATGGAGGAATGATCAAAATTACATAGCAGCAACTGAGTGCTAAATGTTAAGAAAGCATTGTATCATAGTTTAATCAGCAACATTTTTTCCCCTTTCTTAGTGGTAAAGAAAATAATACTGCAGCTTCCAACACATGGCATTTTAAACTTGTTGAAATACAATATTCAATTAACTCAGTGATTGGAATGATTCCTTAGGGTCATAAGTCTTAAAATCAATACAGCTGTAAATAAGTAGGTGGATCTATTTTAAACCAGTCACCTTAAACACACACACACACACACACACACACACACACACACACACACACACACACA